GGATTAGATTATGCTTTACAGGACACAATTAATTTAGTCAAAACTGTTTAAGGCGGCCACCCATTGTTGAGGAGGAGAGTGGCCATCTTACATAGTGTCACTGTAATGTAAAATTACACGTGGTAGGAAATGGGAATTGGCTATTTGTACAAGTGACTGTCTTATACAGGTGGCGTTGGAGCAGATTCAACTGTATGTCTTAGTCTTACAAGAATGGACTCTACATGTATACAAAGCGACAAAAAAGGAGGAGAGATAAGAATGATAGATGTTTGATAGAAAAGAAGCAGCAAACCACATCAGAACGCTCACCAACCACCCACTGATAGAAAATGTTTAGAGACCAACAGAAACATAAAGACGAGCAGAAAACACAGCATGGCTTGAACAAAAAAAACTTACACAATGAGGCCTGGTCTGCCATTGCAACAGTTTCGATGTTTGCACTTCCTCTTTTCAAGTAGGGAGAGGTATAAGATGATGAAACTCTGAGGATCGTTGTAATGCACAGGTGTCAAATTCAAGGCCCACGGGCATAAGAGTGAAGTTGGTGCGCCTTGATTTGTAATTTCAACCTTTGTCCGTTTAAATTCATATTACTGATCAAAATAAAACTTAGTTTTCCACTGCTCAATGAGTATTTATCCAGTTCCACCCGCAACGTTATCATTAAGTGTAATTTAAGTTTGGCCTTTTGAGTGATTGAGTTTGACACCCTAGTTAAATTATGAGGGTAAGGAGGGGGAAATATGCCTCAAAGGGTTAAGCCTAATTTTCATACTAAAGATTACATAGAACATATTTTGAGCATCTAAATTTTTCCCTCATATAATCCACTGTTAGAATTACAGCCAAAATTTAGCAAGTAAGACTCTTCACAAACGCCCCCAGGAAGAAAAAAATACAAAACCAGAAAAGAATTTTGGCAGCTATTTTTAAAACCTTATTTCATTTTCTCATCTGATGCCAACATTTTAAGCAAAATAGTTTTTAAAAAACAGGTCCAAGTACCAATTCTTTCTTCCAAGATTTTGACCCAGGATTTGATGGGCTAAATTAGCTTTAAAGTGACATATTTTATGAAGTCTTGCAATAAAAACAAACAGCGTTCTAAGCCGCATGTTCACACAATGCATGCCAACACACCCACAACCATATATGTACATTAACAGTCATAACATATTCTTTCTGGGCTTGCATTTTCATGCAGTATCCTAATTTTTTTAATAGTTTTGTTTTAGATCATGAAAAATTAAACAAGCCTAGGTAATATGGAGAAAATATGTGAAATAAACAAACTATACAATTAGTAATATCATCCTAATTATCATTATCAAATATTATCCTACTATCATTACATAGGATGTTTATCATTATATTGTCAATGCTCTCATTATAATTAAATACTAAGATCAGTATTATATTATCTCCATGGTTTTTATCTCCATAATGTTGACAATCTTGTGACAGATTCAAAACTAAGTGGAGGCCTATGATTGCCCACATCCAAATTAGTCACTTTCCCAAAAAAACAAGTACAAGTACAAGTTTTGTAAAACCAGGAACCTTGAAATTGAACATAGGGATTTTAGAGAATGCCGTAACAAAACCTCCAGAGTTTGCCTGTTAATTCTTTTGAAGAGCATGCAATTATATTTATCATTTTCAAAAATAAAACTTTGCAAAACATGTTAAGGACAGTTCAAAAACTGCCCCCACATAGAGGGTTTTTGAGAGTTAATTTTTCACAAACCACATCTTCGACGTTTGATGGGTCTGCCCAAAATACGTTACTCCTCTTAACAGCTAATATGGTGAAAATGTACTATCCCTTGACCAGAGAGGTTGTGGTTTGTGAGCAGCACCCTGTCGGCCACCAGCAGCGTGACCTGCACCCACAGATTTGGTCGGATAATATATTATGTTATGGGTAAATTGCTTGGGGCCTAACAAAAAGATGCCTATATCACTATCAGTAGCACCTAAAAAAAAAATTTTTTAATCAAGAATGACAGCTGTCATTGTAGACTAGGAGGTATAGCCCTATATTATAATATATGGAGTCAATAATCAGCAACATTTTTATTGTTGATCTTCATTGCTCTCACAACTTCCCAATCATTGGCTGTCGAGTTGTAACTTTATTACTTAGCAGAAGCCCATAGAGCAGTATTTTACAAACAAACCAGCACTTTAAAGGCCACAATTAAAAAAGACTTAGTTTAAACTATGAGTAATATTATTAAAGCTGTATGCGCTTAATTAAGGGCCTACCATTAGATTCTCAATTAGGGTCAATACCAGGAGTTCTGGGGGAGGGGGGGGGGGGGGGTAAGTAATGATACTATTTCAGTTCTACTATATAAATGGCTAGATTTTTATGTCGTGTTTGGAAGGCGCCGCTGGTTGGTTCTCTCAACTTTTCATATTGAATTTGCAATGATTTTTGTCCTCCTATTTTCAGAGGCCTGGAGCGTTTGCCGTTTACCTGGAGCCATGGCATGCCGACATCTTTGAGTTCTTGGACCTGAAGAAGAACACTGGTGCTGAGGAGCAGAGGGCCAGGGATTTGTTCTACGCCATGTGGATCCCGGACTTGTTCATGCGCAGAGTGGAAGAAAATGGAGACTGGACTTTGATGTGTCCTCACGAGTGCCCAGGCTTGGCTGATGTGTGGGGGGAAGAGTTTGACAAACTGTATGAAAAGTGAGTTTCTACTTTTTCCGAGTTTTTAGACCTACCAAGCACTCCGATAAAATCGAGTCTCTCTGGAATCAATTTTTTTCCCCCCTCTCAATTTTCTTGCAAAATATGTGACTTGGTCGGTTAGCAAATGAGAATGAAGATTGTAATTTTGAAGAATACTGTGCACCTCAGAGGTGCTGATTCTCCAGAAACCCTGATTTTTGAAGCGGTTGAAAAAGTTCAGGGTTTTTTTTTGGGTTTTTTTTTTTTTCCACAAATCAGTTGGCGCCTCTGATACTTTTCTGTACATACTTAACCCTCATCCTGCGGGAGCCGGGTTTATGTAGCCCGATAAGCCTGTTTCGGCACCTCGCCTGCGTTCTGGTCCCGAGTCAGTGTAGCTCCTGGCTCAGCGCACGCGCCGCGCGCAGCCTCTTACATGTCATTCGGGTCCCAAGTCGGATCCCCATTCACGCAGGTCAAGTGTGTGTGCGTCAGTCTGCTTGAGTTTGTGTGCGTTTGTGGCCTTCTTCTAGAACCACCTGCG